TCAAAGACTGTTTCCTATCTTTTTTCACGCTACACTACCATGTACCGCATACTCATTCACATGGGGGGCTGGGATCTTGGGGCCCCCTTGCTAAAGGGAGATTTCAGATTCCAGTAAGCTCCCGGCCCTCAGACCCCCACAGCCACTGGCCAGGGTTGTGGGGAACAGGCCATTGTCCCCATCAACATGGGGAGAAAGGTGCTTTGGAGGGGGAGCTGCCCCTGCCCCAAAGCACCCCCATGTTGAGGGCATGTGGCCTGGTATGGTTCAGGAAGGGGGGCGTTTGCACGTCCCCCCGTTCCTGACCTTCTGGGCTGCATACTCAGATAAGGGTCTGGTATGGATGGATGGGGGACCCACACGCCATTTTTTTTACATTTTAGCATGGGGGTTCCCCTCAAAATCCATACCTGACCCAAAGGGCTTGGTATGGATGGAGGGTGAACCCCACACCATTTTTTTAGATTATTAATTCCTTGCAATTCTTTCTTTTACATTCAGCTGTCAGTGAGGAACCCCGCTGACAGCTGAAACATTAACCCATAGTTTTCACTACTAAAATACCGCTAGACTTGATAAAATAACTCCAGCGGTATTTTAGTAGGGTTTTTTAGTGAATTCAAATGTTTTTTTTTTTTAAATGCTATGCGGTATTCTACCACTTACTTGGATACGGTAAGATACCGCTTAGTGACTTGTGCCCAGTATCCTTAAAACAATTACCCAAATGGAGCATGCCCAAAAATGTCATATCCTGGCCTGTCTAATCTCGGTGGATGTCAAAATGGTGTATGAACATGTTAACCGGTCCTTCCTTCATCAAACACTTCAACAGACTGGGGTTGGTCCTAAGCTATTGGCTAAAATCCTAGCATTATAAACGTGCCCCTCGGCGAGAATCTGTTCCACTGGCCTTCTTTTGGACCCTATCTGGATCAGCAACTGAACTTGTTAGGGGTGTCCTCCTTTCTCGTTATTATAAATCCTCACCATGGAACACCTTGCCATTGCTATACATCAGCACCCTGATATACAAGGCATTACAGTAGGTCACAATCAATACAAACTCTCCCTGTATGCAGACGACCTCCTGCTATACATTACCAACCCCCTGGTCTATATTCTATGCCTAATACGCACATTTGAGGAGTTTGGTGTGATGAGTAACTTTAAAGTAAACTATGATAAGACAGAGACCTTGAATATCTCTTCATCTCTGTATCTCACCTTCGCAGTAACTTTGCTTTTTAATGACAACAGAATGCTAGCAAATATCTTTGCATTAAAATTCCTTCACTATTGTCCACTATGACGGAATTTAACTATATGCTGCTTCTCCAGCTGGTTCACACCTGTCTTAAATCCTATGACAAACCACACATTTCTTGGTTTGGTCGTATGAGCATCATTAATATGGACATTGTACCAAAATTATTGTACACCTTTCATGCCATCCCTGTCCTCCATTGTGCGGTGGACAAGTACATGGAGCGGATGATTGCATGGGATGAAAAAAAACTCTGACACTTTCAAACTTATGTGGACGGTATGGTCTCATTTTAGATACTCATCTGACTTTGATTCCTTTATCTCTGTTAAGGTCTGAAGGCTCCAACATTTCTGGGCTCCTCCCATGGTCCCCTCTTTATGTTCCCCCTCTACCTCTTCCTAAAAAGGGTGGAACATGTAACATGTGAAACTATTCTTTAAGTATCCCAGTGTGCATAGGACTGAAAACCTTTGACTTGTTTCTAAGAGATAAAAAAGTGCATAATTGGGCAGCACAGTGGATAAGTGGTTAGCACATCCACCTAGCAGCACTAGGTTCAAATCCAAACCATGACAATACCTGCTTGGAGTCTGCACACTGTGCCTGTGTGGCTTTCCTTCCACACTCCAAAGACATGCTGGTAGGTTAAGAAAAAGAAAGTGTATGACACTAGCGTGTAATGGTGCACCATTGATTGATGGGCATGGTGAAAGGAGGGTGTTCTGAAATCATACAGGGTGTATCATGGCACACCAGATCAGATGTTTTTATGTCTTCTAGTAACTAATTATAGAATAAAACAAAAGGTTGAACTAAGGTATACTGTATATATCCATTTGGGGGATCCCAACATACAGTCACTTTCAATGGGTCACCGACTCACCATGTAATTTAAAGTGGGGTACCTCCAAATCACCATCAAAACAAGGTCTGATAAGGTTATACCTTGAGTAACTAAAACCTGGGCCTAGGACACTCAAACACACTGCCAGTCATGCACTAGATCTAAACTCATGTATGGCATGAGCCATCAGTCTGGGAAAGGGACATTCCGGTATGACAAATGTCACATAGCAGACAGTGTCAAAACTGCCCACCCGTAGGGATGACAACGCTAGATCGTTCTCATGACTAATAGTCTTGCCCAAAGGAGCCACCAAATACGCTGTAAGGCTAGTGTAGGTGAGTCTCTGTAGGATACAGTCCTAAAATGTTCTGCTGTTCAAAAAAGTATGGATTGCATGTAGATAATCCATAGCCAGACAATGACTGAATGTGAGAGCAAATATCACAGCCTGCAGGAAATAGAATCAGTCCATAGTAGATCCACGGATAAAGGGGGACAGACTAAGCACAATTAGCTTAATCACCGGAAGGGCCAACCATACGGTGGATAACTTCAATCAATTGTGTCCGGGAGACAACCAATGCCCATAAGCCCATATACAGTCAGGTCCATAAATACTGGGACATCGACACAATTCTAACATTTTTGGCTCTATACACCACCACAATGGATTTGAAATGAAATGAACAAGATGTGCTTTAACTGCAGACTGTCAGCTTTAATTTGAGAGTATTTACATCCAAATCAGGTGGACGGTGCAGGAATTACAACAGTTTGCATATGTGCCTCCCACTTGTTAAGGGACCAAAAGTAATTGGACAATTGGCTTCTCAGCTGTTCCATGGCCAGGTGTGTGTTATTCCCTCATTATCCCAATTACAATGAGCAGATAAAAGGTCCAGAGTTCATTTCAAGTGTGCTATTTGCATTTGGAATCTGTTGCTGTCAACCAGATCCAAAGAGCTGTCACTATCAGTAAAGCAAGCCATCATTAGGCTGAAAAGACAAAACAAACCCATCAGAGAGATAGCAAAAACATTAGGCGTGGCCAAAACAACTGTTTGGAACATTCTAAAAAAGAAGGAATGCACCGGTGAGCTCAGCAACACCAAAAGACACGGAAGACCACGAAAAAACAACTGTGGTGGATGACCAAAGAATTCTTTCCCTGGTAAAAAAAACACCCTTCACAACAGTTGGCCAGATCAAGAACACTCTCCAGGAGGTAGGTGTATGTGTGTCAAAGTCAACAATCAAGAGAAGACTTCACCAGAGTGAATACAGAGGGTTCACCACAAGATGAAAACCATTGGTGAGCCTCAAAAACAGGAAGGCCAGATTAGAGTTTGCTAAACGACATCGAAAAAGCCTTCACAGTTCTGGAACAACATCCTATGGACAGATGAGGCCAAGATCAACTTGTACCAGAGTGATGGGAAGAGAAGAGTATGGAGAAGGAAAGGAACTGCTCATGATCCTAAGCATACCACCTCATCAGTGAAGCATGGTGGTGGTAGTGTCATGGCGTGGGCATGTATGGCTGCCAATGGAACTGGTTCTCTTGTATTTATTGATGATGTGACTGCTGACAAAAGCAGCAGGATGAATTCTGAAGTGTTTTCGGGGAATATTAACTGCTCATATTCAGCCAAATGCTTCACAACTCATTGGACGCCGCTTCACAGTGCAGATGGACAATGACCCAAAGCATACTGCAAAAGCAACCAAAGAGTTTTTTAAGTGAAAGAAGTGGAATGTTATGCAATGGCCAAGTCAATCACCTGACCTGAATCCGATTGAGCATGCATTTCACTTGCTGAAGACAAAACTGAAGGGAAAATGCCCCAAGAACAAGCAGGAACTGAAGACAGTTGCAGTAGAGGCCTGGCAGACCATCACCAGGGATGAAACCCAGCGTCTGGTGCTGTCTATGCGTTCCAGACTTCAGGCTGTAATTGACTGCAAAGGATTTGCAACCAAGTATTAAAAAGTGAAAGTTTGATTTATGATTATTATTCTGTCCCATTACTTTTGGTCCCTTAACAAGTGGGAGTCACATATGCAAACTGTTGTAATTCCTACACACCGTTCACCTGGTTTGGATGTAAAAACCCTCAAATTAAAGCTGACAGTCTGCAGTTAAAGCACATCTTGTTCGTTTCATTTCAAATCCATTGTGGTGGTGTATAGAGCCAAAAATGTTAGAATTGTGTCCATGTCCCAATATTTATGGACCTGACTGTATAAATATCCTACAAAGCCATGGACAGCCCCAATGGATGCAAGGAGCATACAGGTTAAAGGTAGAGCATACCACAAGCACTATAGAGAGACCACTAACAGTGAATCCATTGAGATGCTTAATATAGTGGCACAGGGAAATCCAGATTCAATTTCACATTCTTGTTATGTCTTCTAGCACTGGCTTCCTTTGCTATTTTAAAGTCTGCAAAGAATGTTAGTGCTGGAATACTTCCCTCTGTCAAATGCTGCAATCACAGGTTTGATTAAGGTAGCTATATATTACCCACCATGTGCCAATTTATGAGGATCCCACTGAGTGGTAAAGTATCTTCACTTAGGACCACCAGCCCAGCATATCCTATTGGGACTGGCCTGGGGGACAAATGCTTGACTACAGATTCTTTAAATTAAGCATAGTTACAACAGTACAATATATGGGATGTACACAACAAAACACTTCTCCTATTCACTATGCTCCTCTTGGAATTTCAGATCAACAAGCAAGTCTGTCAACTGACTTGAAAATGGTAAGCCATTGGAATGCATGTATTGTAAACAAGGGTGTTCATATTGCAAATACATTGCTAGAACCTAAAATTTCACTGAGCTGCACTTCTCAACGTTTGATATGTCTATATGTCACAATCTTTTCTTCCTTTGTATGTAACTGCATATGACAGTATGCATATCCTGGTTCCTCAGGCTGTAGACGATTGGATTGAACAATGGCGTCACTACAGTAAACATAACCGATATAATTTTGTTGATAGTTACTGAGTTTCCTCTAATTGGAGTAAAATAATTGATTAAAACCGCTCCATAAAACATACCCACCACCATGAGGTGAGTACTACAGGTAGAGAAGGCTTTTGTTCTGTTACCTATAGACGGCATCCTAAGTATAACTACACAAATACTCACATAACTTACAATGATTAGAACAAATGGAACAGCAACCATTGGGATGGTTAGAACAAAAATATCTATTTCCAGGGCAGAAGTATCTGAACAAGCGATAGTCACAAAAGGAGCAAGATCACAGAAATAATGGTCAATGACGTTCCGACCACAGAACTTGAGCATTACGAGGAGACTCAGTGGGATCAATGACAAAAGGAAACCTAACATCCAGCAAAAGATAACCAGGAAATATTGAAGGGTGTGGTCCATTATTCTGTTATAGTGTAAAGGATTACATATGGCCAAGTATCGGTCGTAGGACATTGCAGTCAGAAAATAACATTCAGTAGTACCTGAAGACACAAACAAGTAGCTCTGAGCGATGCATCCAGTGATAGATACATTGGCTCCATCCATCCATATGATACGTAACATGTTGGGGATAGTAACATTCACAAAACACATTTCTGAAAATAAGAAGTTCTTCAGGAACAAGTACATGGGGGATTGAAAACATTGTCTCGTAGACACTAGTACAATGATCATGATATCGAGGAGAATCGTCATTGTATATGCAGAAGATATAAGAATGAAGAGAAGAAATCTGAACCCACCAAGTCCAGGGAACCCAAGAAAAAAAAATTCAGTTGCTGTTGTCACATTTTCATTATTCATGGTTATTTTTGTGTCTGAAATGATGGAAAATGTGGTAAGGTGTACAAAGCTTGTCTTGTTAGGTTTTCAACATAAAGTGTACAGTAGTATTAGATCATTTTGGCAATTAAGTATTTTTTTTTTTTCACATATAACATGAATAAAGCATGAATAGACAAAAAAAACACCACCTTTGACTATTTAGTTACTATACTATATCATCTATTACAGTAAAAAATATGTGAATAATAATATATTATTATTAATATTGTTGTTGTTGTTGTTATTATTATTATTTACTAATAATAATAATAATAATATTAGAATTTTCCACGACTTTTATGGTGCCAACGGTTTGTGCAGCGTTTTACAATATAAACAGAGACAGCACAGTTATAATAGAGCTGCAAAACAAACAAACAGGAGGGTGCAAACACCTAGTGCATTACGCTTATTTAGAGCCATCAACTCAAGTCCGAGTCCTAGTGGCTTGATGAATAAGAGCTCCAAAAAGAAGTCAGTTTTGTTCTAGTTTTGTGAGATCCTTCATTGTCAGCCCCACAGCTGTAGTCAATGTGTCCAATTACCTAGTAGTCGGTTTACCTCTTCACCTGGTTCCTTCCATCTTCCCAAACATTATTTCCTTCTCCAGTGATTTCTGCCTTCAGATAGTGTGACCAAAATAGGAGAGTTGCAACTTCATCATATGGGCTTCTGGTGACAAAGCCAGTTTGATCCCGTCCAAAATCGATCTATTAGTTCTATGGGATGTCCACGGCACATATATAATCCTTCTCCAGCAACAAAGCTCAAATGAGTCGATCTTCTTTCTATCCTGTTTCTGTAGTGTCCAGCTTTCACAACTTTTGACAACTGAGAAAATGAGAGCATAGACAAGGCTGATCATTGTTTTTAGTATAATTACATTACAGTGCTTCACTAGAGTACATAAAAGCATAAATGGTAACGGGTACTCACAAAAGTGAAAAAATAAAGAAGCATTAAAAACCATGAGACTCCACGCAGTATAGCAATTGCGTAACCTAATAACAAACTTGCTATGCTGGCAAGCTGATGTGTTTTGGGATGCACCCCTCTCTTCGGAGCCAGGGCTAGCCAGCGCATCCAAGTCACAGTATATATATATATATATATATATATATATATATATATATATACATACAGACACACAATGCTCAAGAAAAATTAAAGGAATACTTTTTAATCAGAGTATAGCATCAAGTCAACTCCTGGGATATTGATTTGGTCAGTCAGGTAAGTAGCAGAGGGGGTTGTTAATCAGTTTCAGCTGTTTTGGTGTTAATGCAATTAACAATAGGTGAACTAGATGGGCAACAATGAGATGACCCCCAAAACAGGAATGGCTTTACAGGTGGAGGCCACTGACATTTTTTTCCCTACTCATTTTTTCTCATTGTTTTTCACTCGTTTTGCATTTGGCTAGGTTCAGTGTCTCTACTGATAGCATGAGGCCATACCTGGACCCTACAGAGGTTGCACAGGCAGTCCAACTTCTGCCATTATGTATCGGGATGAAATCCTTGGACCCATTGTCAGACCCTACGCTGGTGCAGTGGGTCCTGGGTTCCTCCTGGTGCCCGACAATGCCCAGCCTCATGTGGCAAGAGTATGCAGTCAGTTCCTGGAGGATGAAGGAGTTGACACCATTAAATGGCCCTCACACTCGCCTGACCTAAATCCAATAAAACACCTCTGGGATATCATGTTTTGGTTCATCTGGCTTCACCAAGTTGCCCCTCAGACTGTCCAGGAGCCTAGTGATGCCCTGATCCAAATCTGGGAGGAAATACCCCAGGACACCATCCATTGTCTCATTAGGAGCCTCCCCCGACTTTGTCAGGCATGTATACAAGCACATGAGGGGCTATACAAACTACCGAGGACCATTCTGAGTTGCTGTGATTAAATTTCTGCAAAATGGACTCGCCTGCTGCATAATTTTTTCACTTTGATTTTTTTGTTGTGTCTTTGAATTCAGTTCTCTGTAGGTTGATAATTTTCGTTTACATCAAACGATGGGGCATCTTTACGTTCCTAACACATTACCCCGTCCATAGCAGTATAGATATCCAGCAGGAGATTTTTCCCCATTGAGATCTGATGGGTTTGCAAAGTGTTCTCTTCATTTTTTTGAGCAGCGTATATATATATATATATACAAATTAGATCCAAAAGCAAATGAGAACGAGATCTCCAAGTATCTTCATAGGAAAACTAGTGCCACTGAGAAGCTTCAAGCATAAAACTGCTCTTCATCAAGCTACATAAGATTTGCAACACAACAGGAGTTACCTGCTCCAATTTTATATATATATACAAATACTCACACATACACACTATCTCTACTGTCTTCAAGAACGCCAAACAGAAAGGGCAGTGTCAGAGACACAAACCATGTCAAAGATCAAATTTCACCTGAATGATATACAATGAACCACGTCATATCCACATAGCCATCAGTAGTGGGTAGGATCAATAAAGTATGCATCCATAATCAAAGCAGGCCCCCTACTTGCACACAGTACAACAGTTGTAAGCAAAAAGTTGATGAATAATTAATAAAGTATCTCATATGAGGTGTGCTCTGTATCAAAAATGGCTTGAAGGTATTACAATCATGGCTGGTGGCCGCTGGAACACAATCCCAGACACACTGCAAACTGGAAGTGCATCATTGCATCAACTTCAGGCTCCCAAAAGGAAAGGACGCAGCAGAAACATTCAGTGACCCTGATGAACTGAGACAACCATCCACCAACAACTGATGTAAAAGAAGAGGGAACTATCACAAATACAGAAAATACACATAAATACAAATATTTGTACATGTATGTACTATATGCATGACCAGTCTATGACTCAAAATGACGCCAGCATAATTAAAGTGATTCTAAAGGCTTA